TTTCCTACTACTTTTCCGGTTTATTTTGTGGAAAAAAACAGTTTGTAGTTAAAAACTATATTTCACTCCCGAAAATGAAATAAAACGACTCAAAGGCGAATATTTCTTTTTTCTTTCAGATTTTAACGGTAAAAAAAATAATGCACAATTCGAGTTGTTTATTTTGCCTACGACTTATTTTTCGACTTCGAATTTATTTTCTAATAAATTAGTAAATTTGGTTTGATTTTCGACCAAATCTGGCGATATTGTTGTTTTTTGTGAAGGAAACTTCTGGAGTTTAGGTCAATATCAAATCAAGCGAAATTAGATTAATTTGAATTTTAAACGCTTTAGAAAATGAAAAATATCTTCATTTTCGATATAATTTTGTGATTTTTTGTCTTGTCCTGATGAAGTCTTATCAAATTTTGAGTTTTCATCTCAAAAACATTCTAAAACTTCCCAAAAAACAAAAATAGTATGATTTTCGAACAAATTTGACGATTTTTTTTAGTTCATGCCTCTTATAGCATATTTTTTGATTTAATTTGTTGAGTTGAAAAAAGTCACTAAACCCAAATTAAGTCCAATGAAATAGACCAAAATAGAATAGCAATTTGAATCTGAAGTAAGTTTGTGGTTACAAGGTTTTAGCTCAAGAACATATTTTACTCTCGAAAATGTCAAAAGTAGCATAATTTTCGATCTAATTTGGTAATATTTGGCAAACTTTTTTACTAAGAAGGTTCAAAAATGCTTGAAACGGCAAAAATATTATCATTTTCGAGTAATTTGGTAAGTTTTGGTCTGTTTTAGCGAAAAAAACTTAGTTTATTATCTCAAAAACGTATTTAACTGCTTGACTGGTTTGGACGAAATTTTGCATTTGTCTTGATGAAGTTTTATCAAGAGATTTTATTTCAAAAACATGCTAAAACGTTGAAAAAGCAAAAATGGTATGATTTTCGACCAAATTTGCTGATTTTTTTTTCGAAAAAAGTAAGTTTTCAGCTGATGCTTCGTATATCATTTTTCGATTTAATTTGTTTCTGAGTATTTTTAAACGATTTTTTTTAATAAA